CCATGAGGTCCGGACTCGAACTGCAGTTGACTATGTGGGAGTCCAGCGACATAGCCATTACGCTAACTGCTGGTCTCAAGCCTGATGTGACTCTTGAGAAAATGTAAAAATGATTAAGTCACTACCAGAACCTATCAAGTAACTTAAGACTTAGAAAAGAACCCAAATATTGCAATGCAAACATGGCACATAATGCAGGTTTAAACCATGTGTTAGAAATCTGATGTGTAGAGAGCCATTAATAGCAGTGGAGAATGAATAGAAATTTACTTGGTGTAAAATGTGACTAGTTCATTCTGAATGCTCTTCATAGACAGTGATGATTCAGTGGTGCTGTCTGATGACAACCAGGGTGGCTACTTGGCACATTGTAGTTCTACAGATGCAAAGGTTTGTTACAAGAATTGCAGCAGTGGTGCTGAGAAGAGTGACCTTGGGCAGCAACACTATTATGATGGACTAATAGAAGATCTGGTCAAGCCCTGTGTCAGATGAGAGATGTCATGCTTGTCAGGGGGTCTGGAATCATGGACTATGTTTGTGGATCTTATAGGAGTTACCCACCTGTGAGATGATGCACCTTCAGTTTCCTTCTGGGGAATGGAAAGCTTGCCTTAAAGCAGCTGTGAGTTATCTAGATACTTTGTTTTTTCATTTCACAGCATCTGTGCACTTGTCAGAGAGAGACAGAAGAAAAGAGAGATAGAGAAAGAAAACTCTAAAGCAGCATAGTCTTGCCCCAATCCCTTTACCTGCGTTTCTCCAACTGGTTGGGAATTTGGCTACTTGTTCACATGCACAGGTCATGTAAAGACCCCAGGGATTAGATTTAGAATAATGGTCTGCCATGGGATATCTGCTTCTTTTAACCACTTGGCTACAAGACCAGTTTTATCCTAATCTTTGAGGAACTAAGTGATAAAGCTAAAACTACACCTTGGTTTGTTGTATCTTACTCGCCACTTCTCTTGATCTCTCTCTCTCTCTCTCTCTTTTTTTTTTTTTTTTTTTTTTTAGAACCAGGTTTTGTTTTTATTTAAAAAAAGGTTAGTTTTTTTTATTTGTTTGTTTATTTTTCACATTATTTATTATTTGTTTGTTGTATATACTTTCAATCATATTGTTTGGCTTACCATGAGAACATTTTGATATGTGCACATTTCTCCCCAGACCCGTTGATTAAAATATCTTTAACAGATAACACCACACCTCCCCATCCTGTCAATGCTCTACCTCTGTATCCCTTCTCCAAATGTCCTTCATTAGGCCCGACTCCTCCTGCTTCTCTTGAAAGACAATTGATTGGGCATCAGGAAGACATCTGAGGCCTCGAATTGCTGATCAGCTCATACTTTGAATTTTCATTTTATTAATTTGCACAGAATGGCAAGAAATGGGGCTAACCTATGCAAAATGAGGCTTTTTTGTTGTTGTTGTTGAGACCTATATATTCCCTTTGATAATTGAAAAACAAAAAAGTCAGTTGATAGGGTGATTGATTTCTCTGTTTCATATCTGATATTGATTCAATTCTTCTTCTTTTTTTTAAAAATTTTTTTAGAGGTTTTTGCTATCAGGCACGTGTGCTTGCCAGAAAGACAGAGTGCAGAGTGAGACAGAGAGACAGAAAGTGAGAAATCACCCCCAGGGAGTTGGCCACATGGCAATCCTTTCTCCTCCATTCCCCTCTCCGGATCTTGGGCACACACGCACACGCACCTGGTGTGAGTTTAAGCCACTTGGTCCAGGACTTGAACCGCTATCGACTCCATGGGAGTCCAGTGACATAGCCATTAAGCTAACTGCTGGTCCCAGTAAATAAATTATGGAAAGGGGTCAAATTTTGTACAAAAATTGTTTTCTCTGTGTACTGATAGGAGACTAATGGGGTAAAGACAATGTGTTTGCTCATCTTAGAAGTCATTTTAAATAGGAATTGACACCAACATTGCTGACTTCCATACGTGGATCCCCTGTTTCCACTCATATTCTCATTTAGATTTTGCTTGTATTCCATTGTATTGTCCTTGACATGTATAAGGTTATTATCTATATAGGTCTATACTTTTTAAAAAATAATTTTTAATTTAATTTTCTTTTATACATTCAATCATGTTATTTAGCTTACTTTGAATGGACACTATTTAGAGAAAAATGGAATCCTGACATGATATTATCTTGGCATTGAAAAGGTGGGGGTTTATATTTGACAGGTGGTCAGTGTCCTGGCAATACTAGATCCCCTTAATCCAGTCACCAATTGAGATCTTTCAGTCCAGTTCAGTCCCTATGTAGGGCAATGTTTTCTGTCAGCTTTATTCCTAATGTGGAACTTTACTGGTCCCCAACCAAGGCCTATGGGTTTTACTAGGGTTCACCTCGATGGGCAGATCTTGAACTCCACTTGTTTTTTTTGTTTTGTTTTGTTTTTTTTCCTAGTTGACACTTGTGTACATGTGTGCAAAAACTGCTCAGCCTCTGTGTAATTCCGGAGTGTCCATCCAAAATTCATTGAGGAAACAAGGGAAAATCAACTCGAATGCCAGGCTAGCCTGAATCCTGGATTTCCTTCTTATAGTCTCATGTTTCTCCACTGGCTTCATAGCAATTCATGTTTTTGATTATGTATTCCATCCACTGTCCACTATTTATTCTTGTTCTAAGGGGAGATCTGGGACTTCAGACCTGCTCTTTACTGTTCAAAAGTAAAATTCTTCTATATTGTCCCTCAAAGGATGGGTTTACATTATTTTAGCCTGAGTCCAAGTCACAGTTTGCTATGTCCTCACTGGCTTTGGGTGTGTATTGAGCGATAACTCTTTTAGGATAGAAATAGTACCTGTTCTCCTCTGTATCCTCAGTATCTCACTATGCATCCAATGCCCGAGAGTCATTGCAGAAAACTTTGCCTAGAGGATTGCTTGGATTGCCAGAAAGAAATGCACAGATATTCCTCCAGAGTGTTTTTGTTCTTGCTTTCTAGAGATCTTTGAGTTTGATGTGTGATCTATAGAAAAGTGGAGAATCTTTTGAATCAAATTATATACAGAGTTCTTTGCTAATAATAGTTATATATATAACTATATTTGCTCTTATTAGGCCATCATCATTTATTGCATTCACTATCAATGAAGTCAGTCTTGTTAACATAAATCTACACTGAGCTTATGGTTTTCCAGCTGAAATCTACTTCAGGGTCTAACATCCTTTTGTATGGAGCAGGTTGGATCTTTTTTTATGTCTGTACAGTTGCCAACACTGAAGATTCTCCTCAACCAAGATTTCCCTCAACCAGGATCTTTGAAGGAGGTGGCAGGAATTTTGTCCTGAAATGTAGAAATTTCAGAGGGTGAAGTAGAGGGTTAATGACACTTTGTCTTACCATGACCTCTGTAAGGCTGACTGTCTGTGAGGCACCAGCCTTTACTGAGGGAAGCTGTCCCCACAGCTTTGTGCAGGGGAGGGTGGGAGAGAACCTTTGAATCAAGGCCTTGAGACCGCTAGGAGGTAAGAAGTGCAAATTTTCATTTGGGCTACTGAATAATGTGTGTTTCTTTCCCATTTTAGGAAGCTGTTAATGAGGGAACTTGAGCAGATATAGAACAAAAGGAGGTTTCAAAGGCAGAGGAAAAAGTCAAGTTGACTACTGAAAAAATACATAATTTAAAGTGAGTTCTGACAGCAAACATCAATGTCTAGAGAAGCCTGTTTTGGATTTTCTTGATTTCTAATATTCGTATAGTGTATATTTAGGATCAATTGACATAGAAATATAAAAACGTTGTCAGAAAAAATATGTATTTTTTTTGTGTTTTATATATATATACATATATATACATATAGTCTATATATGTAGAGAAAGAGAGGGAGCGAGTGCTCTACCAGAAGAAAAAGCAAAATACAAATAATGCTGAGTTAGTGAAAATTTTCTGAGCCCCAGAGTTAGTTTGATTATGCATACATTTGGTTTATGTAAACATGTCTGGGAGTATTGAAGACAGTAATAATTCTTATAAATGATGCAATTTCATGTCAGCTAAACCACATACACAAAAATGATTTTGTCATTTTATAAGAACAATTGTCACTGCCTTGTGACATGTGGTAAAAACTTAAGTACAAGAAGAATGGTATTGATGGTCAATGATACCCAACAGAGGAAAAAGTAGAGAGAAATTGAGATGAGTAAGGAAATTATATCAGCTGAGAATTCTGCAGGATTCCGTAATGGATAAGGAAACTGTTTTTAGCTTGGGTTTTACTGTACTCTTATTCATGGAAACTATGCTTTCAGTGTATGGATAAAATGTGTAAGGATACAGTTGTGAGGATCACAGGAACATAGAACATTATTGAAAATGATATTCAATGTTGTGCTATGTCTGATGAAAGTAATTCTAAATCATAGGAAAAGAGTTGGAGAAACTGAAGAAGAAGAGAAGAGAAAAGATACCACCTTTCTAAACCAGGTAACCTATGTTCTGTTCAACAGTTGCCAAATCCTCAATTCCATCACAGAGATGAGTATAATGGCCCTTAGAAGGTCTAAACATATTGGCTCTAGCAGTTCTAAACATATTGGGTCCAGCAGGCAGCATGGTGGTTAAGGGCACTGGACTCCCACGTGGCCCACTGTGGTTTGAGTCCCTGACCTGGCAGCTTGGTTTCTTACTCTCTCTCTGTTTCTGTCTCTCTTGCTCTGTCTCTCTCTGGTCAAATTAAAATAACTAAATAATTAAAGTTAAATAAAATAATTCTTTAAAAAATTCTAATATTTTGTTTGATGTTTTCAGTTTTGTTTCATTTTGTTTTGTTTTCAGAAGGTTTTTCTTTCTTCTGTGCCCAGTTGACCCTGACTCCACACAAACATGTTTCTATTTTCTAACTCAGGGTTCGTGTTTTGGAGCAGGTAATGGTGAAGAACTCCAGGGAGGCCATCTACCTGAAAGAGAGATGAAACTGGGATATTTATCTTTAAGATTTTTTTTTATTTCTTCAGAGAGAGAGAGACAGACAGACAGAGAAGAAAGAGATACACTCTCTAACATGGTTTTGCAACTACCTACCCTCCTACTAAATTGGACAAGACATGGGCATATGTGTGTCTGCTATATACAGGGAGATCTTGGGGTGTGAACTTGGGACCTTGCTATATGACTTTACCATCGTTAAGAATTGGGTTTCTGCTGTTCCTTTGTAGGTGACCTGTGATAGATATTTTTAAGGGTCTTCTTGATGATTTAAGACATAGCTGCTGAGGACTAGTTAAGAATTTGGTGTTATAATTCTTTTTTTCCCCTTTATTTTTAAAAAGTTTTTCCTATAAGGACATGTGCTTACCAGAGAGAGACAAAAAGAGAGGGCAGGAATGTGAGAAATCACCCCTCAGGGGGATGGCCATGATGAAATTCCTTTTCTTCCATTCTCTTCATGTGATTTTGGTTCTTTGTCAGCAAGGTTGTCAATAATGCAATATCAGGATACCAGGGGAACATGGACTGTAGAACCTAGCACAGGGAGGAACTAGCATGGTCATCCTTCCTCAGAGAGGTAGGAATACACTGAGAAGATGGCAACTCAGATTTTGCTGCAAAATTCACATACCCTGTATTTTGTTCCAGAATGATCATAATACTATTGACCCCAGTCAGATGGCTCTTTGTGCTGATCCCCTGTGATTGTTGTCCTGCCACTTACTGTGGACAGAATCACTCCCACTTCTTTTTATTTATTAATTTATTTTTTAATATTTATTGTAATTTATGATGATATAAAATCATTATACATCTCTGTAGGGGACAGTATTGTTTTTTTAAAGTATGTATATAGTGTGTAATAACTAAATTGAGAATATGAACATACCACCTTCAACACTTAACATTATATTGTGTCATTAACATTGGAAATTTGCAACTGATTATTTTGCAAATATATGTTAGATATATATGATGTTCTTTACTATGAAATATAGTTCTAAAGAAAAACAAAATGACTAACAAATCAGACAACAAGTCTCATAAATTAGTGAGGATAGTTTTTTTTTTTTTAAGAATAGAGAAGGACAGCATGAGAATGAATACAGAGACATGACATTTGTGGGACAAAGAAATGGTTTATTACCTGTTGATTATAACATGTATAGTATTCTCTACTGGACTGTTCTGAGAAGTATTTCATGTTAGTTAAATTCTCTTTACAAGCCAAATGATGTATAGTTATTGAATGTTTTTTTTTTTTTTTTCGCTATAGGGCACGTGCGCTCACCAGACAGACAGAGAGAGACATAGAGACAGAAAGCGAGAATCACCCCCCAGGGGGGATGGTCACGCCGCAATCCCTTCTCCTCCATTCTCCTCTCAGGATCTTGGGCACGCACACACATGCGCCCAG